TGTCATCAGTGTTATTGGGTTGGTGTGGTTTTGTTGCTGGCTCTGCTCCTGGCTGTGGTGGGCTTGTCTGGCACTTCTGGGAAGTTTGTAATCTAGACTAGCAGAGCAGCACGCTAATGACCAGCAGCATTGGTGAGAAGGCCCTCACAAACCTCTCCAGCTTCAGTCATCTCCAGTGGAGTTGACATGGCACTCCTTGTAAAACCCCTGTGCCCAGTTCATGTGCTCAGGGCTTTGCTTGCACCGAGGTTCTGCAGAAATGCCCTTTGCAGTATCATGCCAGGGAATGAATCTAATGGGTGTTGCCTGGATTTTTTTAAACCCTTAGAAATGAGCACAAAGCTCGTATGGGTAGTCCCAGCATCCTCATACAGATGTGCTTCCTTATGTTGGATGGTTGTCAAGAAAAAAAGCCTTAAACCAGAAGGAATGTATTTTGATTAACTTCCACAGCCCACTTCTGTTTGACTTCAGCAGCCTCTGATAAAAAATCATACAAAGTAGTTTCAAACCTGAAACACATGCTTACTTGATAATTATCACACTAGATTTCTGTGTTCCTGATTTGATAGTACAGTGATTTTTCTCATGTGTCTCTTGAGAGTTGGGTAACAGTGATGACTCTACTCGGCTCGGGATGTGGTTTTGTGAAACACTGAATGCGCTCTGACTGTTGCCAAAAGGGATGATTGTATCGACCTCTTCTCCAGTCTGTGTTTTCCCCACCTTCGCCATGTCGAAATGGATGATCGCAGGGCCAAGCTTTGAGCCAGGTCAGACTACAAGTGCCCTGATCCATCAGGCTCCAGATCACGTGGTAGGGAGATGGCAGGACTGGGAAGACAGGAATGGTGTGTAGTTTGCCCTTTGTTGTGGGTTTTCAGATGAAGGTGTACCCAGGCTAATGGAGGTGTTCAGCGTGACAGAGTCCCCTTCTTGGCCCCCAGCAGATCAACTTTTCCATGCAGGTGAATGAAGTGTTGTGCTTGTGTCAGGATGCTAGTGACTGGTACCTTAAAAGGAGACAGATTTTGGTCCCTTGCAAGAGGTGACTGATTTGGTCTGGGCAGGCTGTAGGCATAGCAAACACTCATGGTCATGAGACCACTCAAGTGTTTTTTCTGTTTGGTTTTGTCACAGAGCAGGCAGATGAAGTGTAGAAGACAATTCTGGAGTAAAAAAAAAATTTAAAGCTTTTTAAAAATACAAATGTACAGAATACTATATGGAGAATTCCCTGAAGATACCTTAAAGATGTGGGTGTATTGGTCTTTATCGTAAAGTAATCCTGCTTGTGAATCAGGTGTGGGTAGTAGATGGTGTTGTGGCACTGTCTGAAATACATTATTCTGCTTTCTGCTCTGCCTCCCACTTAGGAGTAAGAGACGCTTACCTTCTTTGTGCCCTAAACCGTTTACAGCTTCTCTGTGTGCAGCAGCTGCAGGCGTGACAGTCTTCTGGGGAGTCTTCTTTTGCTTACCTCTCTGTGGCCAGACAGGGTGGCTGTGGGCATGGCAGGCACCTCTCGCTCCTGGGGGATGGCAGAGGTGCCATCAGAAAAGTGTTTGCATTAGGATCGTATTTAAAAGCTGAACTCTTCATAGGCTTTGTTGTGCTAGTTGCTATGCAAATGTAGATTAAGGGAGTACTCTTCTTCTGAATACTACTCATTCACTCATTTTTTAAATTTTTTTTTTTTGTTTTTCTCCTGCCTTAGCTTGTTAGGGTATTTCTGTGAGCTCTGCCTTTTCTGGCTGTGGAGCTACTTTGCCAATTGACAGTAAAGCTGTGGTATGGTCTGTGTCACTTCCTAGTGCGGAGAACACGCATCAAGGACATGAGGCTCTTCCTGGAGCCCACTCCGACCCCTAGTAGAGAATTTCTGTCTGAAGTGTGGGCTTTTAGCAAAGCAGGTTAAAGCAGCCCTTGAGCAGGAGTTAAAATCCCAGGACATGCTGGCACCTTGTGTTCCACTGGCGACCAAAGGAGTGATCATTGTGGTTCTTCTGGACATGTAAGCCATGTTCTGCGAAGTGGAATTGCAGATTTAATTTTTTGGTGTCATTGGCTTGCACAGATGTGGGAGTTCAGCCACTGAAGGGATATTTGTGACATCTCCATTCCTATTGTGTAATTTAGCATGCAAATGTTAGAGCTCTAGTGGGTTTCAGTTATCCAGAAAGGGTGGAGGTCTGCAAGAGCGTTAACTCTGATTGTCAGTGCTCTTCTGGTAGCTTACTTGAATAGCTACATTCTTTGAAATAAGTTTTGTGCTTCTAGTCCTGTGCTCGACCTTTTATTTTTTCTTCTGATTTTTCTTCTTTAGCTCCTTTAAGCTACTACTTAGCATGTGGCTTCTGACAGAGTTTCTCTGTTTTTTCCCCAGCTTTGGTGGTTTGAGCTGTGTGCAGGGGCTAGTACATGCACTTCTGTAGGATAAGATGCTCCAGGTCTTCATGGAATTTGAAGGTTTAAGGAACTATGGTGACGTGCTGCATCCTGGGAGGAAGTCTGCCTAATTCGTTACTTGCGTCTGCACTACTTGGAAAGCAGTTATGTGGTTTTTATTCTCTGAACCCCTATCGTGAGCCATGTTCCTTTCCGAGAAGCTTTCTCGGCACTGCTGGTGAATGTGAAAGTCCATCTGCCATTCCTCAACTTGGTCTCTTTATTTTTTTTCATTTTTTTCAGTGTTATAGTGTGTATAACATGCGGAGGCCTTACTGGCCTCCACATGTGGGGCTCAATTTACTTTGCTACAGCTATTTTTGGTTGGACACAAGAAATGTCAGTGCCACATAGTATGAGATGATGAATTGCGGTGTACTGTACGTATCCATGAGGCTGGGATATCATCTGAGCGGTGGCATCTTGCCAAATACATTTCAATTCTGTTAGTTCATACTCTTTTGAAAGGGCTGTTATGTAGCCTGAGACAACTACAGCTATGCTGGACATCTCCTTAAGCTATTTGTGATCTGATATAATCGTATTGCTTTGAGAACTATGCTGAGAGTTTAAGCTTCAGAATTCTGTCTGAATATTTAAGACCTTTCCCTTTACATTCTTTTAACCCATAACCTGGACAAGATCCTTATTTACAGAAGAAAAACGTCCGGCACTTGTGCTAAACACTGCGGTTTTTCATGCCATGCCAAAATAGATAGTTGGTTTTGGTTTGATACTGTTTTATCATCAGTTTACTTCTACAACAAATGGGGGAACACGTACAACAATAAAATATAAGAAAGTAAAAATCAAGCAAATACGGTGGCACAACAGAGGGCTGGAGCACCTCCCCTCTGAGGACAGGCTGAAAGAGTTGGGGTTGTTCAGCCTGGAGAAGAGAAGGCTCCAAGGAGACTTAATAGCAGCCTTCCAGTGCTGAAAGGGGGCTACAGGAGAGATGGGGGGGCACTCTTTATGAGGGAGTGTAGTGGCAGGACAAGGGGTAACGGGTATAAGCTGAAAGAGGGCATAGACATTAGGAAGAAGTTTTTCACTGTGCAGGTGGTGAGGCAGGGGCCCAGGTTGCCCAGAGAAGCTGTGGATGCCCCATCCCTGGAGGGGTTCAAGGCCAGGCTGGATGAGGCTTTGAGCAACCTGGGCTGGTGGGAGGTGTCCCTGCCCATAGAAGGGGGGTTGGAACTTGATGATCTTTAAGGTCCCTTCCAACCCAAACCATTCAATGAACTTTACGTTCAAGGTTTTCTGCAAGTATAGTGTATTATTACAGTTGACCCTATAAAATGACTTTGTGCGAGTATAGTATTTTATGGGGTCAGCTGTAATAATATGATTTTGCCTTTTTTTTTTTTTAAGAGGAAACCTGAGAGAGGAATAACTTGGTTGTTCCTGGGATTTGAGTGCTTTCCTGCTTTTACTGTGATTCTTAGTTTTGTTTGAAAATGCGACATCATCAGTCATTGCAAGCTCTTTCCTGAACCCCTGAAGACAGCAATCACTCCTGCACATAGCTCAGTGCAGCCGCACTAGCTGCGTTTTTGCTTTCTGTGTGTGTATGAGACTGGTGTTCGATTCCACAGATCACTGCAGAATGTGGTAGCTGTACTGTGCTTCCCACTCACGTTGCAAAAAAACTCACGAAGAACTGAAGGACATGCAAAGCTTAATCTTTATGGTTCAGTTACTAACTATAGGCTGGTCTGTGAAATCCGAGTGGCTTCTCTATCGCCCGTCTCCTTGGGTCAGGCTTTGTGCAGAGTTCAGGGCTGAAGCTCAGCTGCTGAGAACCCGACAGGTGCTGCAATGCTTAAATGAGACCCAGGGACAAGCATGTTGCTATCAGCCTCTGGTCAAGATGTGGTTTATAAACCTGAAGCTCTTCTATCTAGCTATTGCAAAAGGGAGGGTTTTATTTTCCACAGTAAGTCTGGTGTGTCTGGGTAAGCATAATCAGGCACTGAACTGTGAAGAAAACAAAATCTGTGTCCAGCTGTTGATGCTGTATGTTGAACAAGACAGGAGTGCTGGGAGATGGTGCATGAGGAATCAAAGGCTACCTGGCATGACACATGCTTAAGCCATAAGGTTTTCCATCACCCCGTTGAGTTTTATTTCAGATTTTTCTTGTTTTTGAGCTACTCACCTTTGTTCCAGCAGGAACAATTTTCTTAAGTGTCATTTGTCAGTGGGCCTATACAAGTGTGCAAGATCTTTTTAAAGAGCTCTTACAGAAAGCAAAAATGATGCACGCGGAGGTAATGCGGTAGTAGTCCGTAGAGGTGCCTTCGCCTTGAGCAGTGAAGGGGCAGCAGTCAGTTGTCATCCTCTTCCTGGCTGAGTGGGAGTGTGAGAGGACCGCAGTTGGTTAACAGACTGCGTGGTTGACTGCTGGCAGCAGTGGGATACTGGGAGTCTGGGCTCCTGGATTCTGTTCCACATCAGAAAGAGAGCTTGTTCTCTTGTGTACAGGCTCAT